TTTGTTACTGCTTTATTGTTGGCAAGCAAAAATGTTGATTGTTATAATAAAGTATTTTGTTGTCACGTACAATGTTTGGCGAAATTCTATCCTAGATCTTTTGGATCTTTTCAAATTATGAAGCTTAAAAAGTATCGGTATCTGTATCAGTATCAGTATCGATATCGGCGATACTGGCCCTGTATTTACTTGGTATCGGATCGATACCAAAATTCCCAGTATCGCCCACCTCTACTGGGGAGGCTAAAGTTTATGTTCTTAGACTGTTTACACCCAAACAGCTCTGTAAAAAAAACACTACCAGGAGCTAGAATGTGATTTTTATGAACAAATACAGAATGACTAAGGTGCTGCTTAGAGGCATGCAAGGAAAAAAAATCTCTTCTTACTCTGGAATTAGATGCGTGAGAGACGAGCTGTCCTGCAGACACCTTTAGATTCTCCAGGAATAGCAAGAAAATGTTGGATAATTAATGTCTGTCACATTTCCAGCTTTTCCCTCTCCACGACCCGCACCACAGGAACGAGTCAAACCAGCTCCCGCYTTTTTAAAAACTCTTCAGGTCATTACAGATAATCACGAGCTAATCTTCAACCAGTTTCAGGTCCACTGTTAGCTCCCAGAAACACAAGCGCGAGCTCGTCGGACCTCCGTGCAGACGGGGGAAACAGCTGAGTCGTCGGTTTCTGCTGCGCTTTCATGGGATCATTTTGTTTCRAGGTTTGAAGGAAATTTTAGAAGTCAAAATAAAACATCGGAAGCGAGAGCGGTTCCTTTTTATTTTTAACTCAGTGCAGCTAATAACTGCCAATAAGACAYGGCTTGCAGCAGATTTAACACAAGCTTTGGCTTCTTCTGGGACAATGGACAGAAACTGCAGAAATTGGCACCCTCCATGTTGCAGACTTCTTTGAAGTCTTCATCCCTTCGTCTCATTTAATCCTCCTCCCCTTGTCCTCGCATACGTCTCTCCGTCTCCACTTTGACAGCTTTCGGTCAGTTTATGTTAAAACCCAGCAGAGGATGAAGAAGGGAGATTTGTGAGGAAGCCTCCCACTCTGACTCCAGRGAGGAGTTTTTAGGCAACTTCAGGCCCGGTCCACACTGGAAGGAYATTTTGTTAAAACGCAAAAGTTTTTCTTTTGATCATTTCTGGTTTTTAAATCTCTGCGTCCTGTGGGTTTTGATTTGCTGATAATTGAAAACCAGATGTGGGCACTGCTAATCCACTAAACGGGTTAAAAATTAGGGACCGCTAACTGCTAACGGCTAAATTTACTGCCACTGTGTCAATAAGTTAAAAAAATGAATAAATAATAAAAAGAAAGAGGAGAGTGGTGGCACAGAGGTTAGAGAAGGTGAGCCTGTAATCAGACGGTTGCTGGTTCAACTCCCCAGATGGATCCGCCCCACTCTGGGTCAAGGCCCTAAGGACACATCAAACGTGGCAGCCCACTTGCCAAAATGCAAAGAGTTAGTTTCCCCACCAGAGGATCAATAAAGTATGTAATAAATAAAAAAATAATAAAAACATCTTCTTCTCTTTCCAGTTGAAATCTGATGGGACGCAAACCTGCTGTTAGTTTTCTATTGGTTGAATTTGATAGTGGGTGGGGTCATCTGTGGCATATCAGCCAATCCAAACCAGAGATACAGCCACGTCTGACTTGTAATACTCCCAGTAACTCCTTTCAGAATAAAAGCATCTTTTGATTAAGTTTGTATTTTTATAAATACCGTTTGAAATTACTCAAACAACAAATAGCAAATACTTTTTCTACCATATTTTCATTATTTAAATATTGTTAAATCTTATTTCTATTTCTTTTTGACGCTCTTAGTTTGGAGTTTAGCTACATGCTACACACCCTGTGACACTGCTTGTAAGAGCGAATMGTTTTTATTTAATTTGGGATAAACGGCAGAAAAATTGAAATGTACCACTTTTTATTTTTAGTTTTTRGYGRACCTGAAATTAGCAGAACTTAAACTAGCGGAAGCTAATCGGTCTGATAATAGTTGCCCAAGTTAGGAACAAGCTAAATCACTAAATAAGAAGCTAACCCCTATTAGCAGATTAGCATAACTGCGCCCGCCCATTTAAAAAACAAACCGTTTAATTAACGTCAGCTCCTGTTTGAATCTGTGTGTCCAGGCTACAGCACCATGAGTCCACAGGAGGACAGCGAGAACCCGCCCGGAAACAACGACCCGCTCTCGGCGGGCGTCGACGTCAGCAACCACGACGACGACCTGGACCTGGACACGCCCCCGCAGACGGCGGCGCTGCTGAGCCACAAGTTCCACCCGTACAGGCACGCGCACACGCACCACCAYCCGCTGCACACGCACCACCTGCAGGCGGCGGTGACGGTGCACAGCGTGGACGCAGAGTGCTGATCCTCACCTCCCTGACGGGGGAGCGGGACAGAACCTGGTTTTCATAAAGACGTTTTTATTTTTTTTAAAAACCAACCAAGGTGGAATAACGGACACAGAAATAAATGTCAGCGTCGGGGCCAAAGCAGCTGGGATTTTCTGTTTGTCTTCCGGACTACGAGGACAACCTGCTGGAGCAAACAAAATGCCGTATGAGCCTTTTCATCAAACACTACCAGGAGACAAATGGAGCCTAAAAGCTTTATGGGGAGACGAATCATTTCTCAGTGTTGGACAGGATGAGTGGAGAACTGGATTACAGCCGGGGCCCGACGAGGAGCCCTTTGACTGTTGTAGGCAGTTCCCCTGCAAAGGCCTCTAGCTGAGAGGTGCATGAAGGGAACAAGCGCTCTGAAAACTGGGAGGCATCTCTGCTGAAGAATAAAGACTTTTTTAAAACGAAGAACTGGATTTAGAGGGATTCTGACGTTATTTCTCCTAAYTTTCCCTTTTCATTTCCGGACTTGTTTTTCTCTGAAAGTTGCAGCTCCTGGATTCACCCATRATGTGGGAAAACATCTGAACACTTTCCTGAATGTCTGTAAACTTCACTGTAGGACGTTTCACATAAGAAAACATAAGAGTACATTATTATTTTTCTATTATTTATTAAAGGGGTAGTTTTTTCAACACAGCTGAAAACACAACATAAAGACAGGAAATCCTCTGGGAGCTGGCGCATCACATTTATTATTTAGGCTCATTATTTTCAATTTAAAGCACAAGAAGTCCAAGAGATTGTGTTTTTTTAATTCATTTGCATTATTATCAAATATTTTTAATATCAAAGTCTTATTAGCTTTAAACATTTCCAT